GGGAGGGTGAGCGGGAGGGTGAGCGGGAGGGTGAGGGGGAGGGTGAGCGGGAGGGTGAGCGGGAGGGTGAGCGGGAGGGTGAGCGGGAGGGTGAGCGGGAGGGTGAGCGGGAGGGTGAGCGGGAGGGTGAGCGGGAGGGTGAGCGGGAGGGTGAGCGGGAGGGTGAGATTGGGAAGGTGAGGGGGAGGATGAGGTGGATGGGAAGGTTTGGGGGAGGAGGGGTTGGCATCGGATTTACACTGCACCAACCCCCTGATGGCAGCCCTGGGTCCGCCCCATGTACCGCCCCTCACAACACCCCTCCTACCATCCCTCCCTCACCAGCAATCATGGCGAGGCGCTTGTTGGGGTCGTCATCCCCGTAGAACCAGATGCGCGCGTTGGAGGGGTGGTAGAACTGCGCGTGGAAGTCCTGGAACTCCTGGAAGGAGAGCTGCGGGATGACCTTGGGATCTCCACCACTGTCCACTGCGTACTCATTGTCGGGGAATAGGGCCTGGGAAGGGGAAGAAGGGGGGGAGAGGCGGGGAGTGGGGAGGGGGTGGGGAGGAAAGGGTGAGCGTGTGTATGAGCCTACGCCACTGTCCACCACATATCCCTTGTCAGGGAACGGGGCCTGGGGGGAAGGAAAGAGAGGATGGGGGAGTAGGAGGGAATGCGAGGGAGTTGGAGGGAGTGGAAGGGGATGAGTGGGAGTGGGAGGGAGTGGGGAGGAGAGGGCGAGTGCGGGTGGGAGGTTCGTGACGCCACTGTTCGCTGCATACTCGGGGAAAGGGAGAGTGCTGAACAGTCACTGCACGCGCCCACCACCCTTTTCTCCCCAATCTCCCCCCCCTCCCTCTTCACCCCCTCACGCTCTTCCTTGCTCACCTGCTGCACGGCGCGCATGAAGACGGAGTCGGGCTGCGAGTACACGCCTTTTGCTACACGGCTCGCATCCCCTTTTCCCACCAATCTGCCCCGCACCCGCCGCTTCCTTCCCCCCTCCACCTCCCCCTACTTCCCCCTTCACCCCTCACCTGCTGCACGGCACGCATGAACACGGAGTCGGGCTGCGAGTACACGCCCTTCATCTCGTTGAATACCACGCCTGGCGCATTCAGATTGGCGCAGCATGGACACCCACGATCGGGAGGGACGGGACGGACAGAAACGGGAGGGACGGGGGGGTAGGAGGGACGGGGAAGAGAAGAAAAATTACACTTGCTATTGAGTAACACGCGAACTGATAAATTCAGAGTAAATTCGAACTGATATTTTTGGAGGAGGCCCATAGAAGCGCAGCCAGTGCATCATGAACGCACACCCACAAGTCCATCTGTCCGTTGCACAATTTCAACAACGCCTGAGCCGTCCATACCACGCCTTGAAGCGTGATCGTGGCCGTGGATGTACCTTTGAAGGTGATATCGTCCTTGGGATCATCGAGCTCGTAGGGCCACCCCTCCCGCTTTGAGACGACTCTCAAATACATTTGAGTGTAAATGTCGCCCTTGGGATCATCAGTGTACCTTTGAAGGTGATATCGCCCTTGGGATCATCAGTGTACCTTTGAGGGTGATATCGCGCTTGGGATCATCAGTGTACCTTTAAGGTGATATCGCCCTTGGGATCATCGAGCTCGTAGTGCCACCCCTCCTGCTTGGAGCCCTGTCAAATACCTTTGAAAGTGACATCTTGAATCGTGATCAAGGCCGTGGCCGTACCTTTGAAGGTGATATCGTCCTTGGGATCATCGAGCTCGTAGTGCCACCCCTCCTGCTGGAACGTCTTCTCGTCGCGCACGCAGTTAGGGAAGAACACCGCGTCCAGGTACACGTCCACCAGGTTGTAAAAGTCCTGTAACGAGTCGGGCAATAACAATGCGGAGAATCCCCTCAAAACACTACGTTCGCGTACACGTCCAGTAGATTGTGAAAGTGTTGTAACGGATCGCGCAATAATGTGAAAGCATGCTATATGTACGATTTTTAAAATAAAATCAACGTATTTGTGAAGAATGTGGATTGAAGCGGGAATCGTGTATAGTATGGAGAGAGACCGTGGACTGAAGGGCGACAAGGGCGGCAAGAAGCCTTACCTGCAGGTTCGTGGAAGCTACGGGGTAGCACGTGCGATCGGGGTAGGTGAACGCGTTAAGGAAGGTGTTGAGCGAGCCCTTAGCGAGTTCGACGAAAGGCTCTTTAACGGGGTACTTGCGCGAGCCACAGAGCACGGAGTGCTCGAGAATGTGCGGAATGCCCGTGCTGTCCTTGCTGTAGCGCGCAAGGCGGGGGGCACGGGGGAGAATACGGGGGAGGGAACGGCGGGGCGAGGGGAGGGGAGAGGTGGGGGGAGAGGGGGGTGAGTGGGGGGGAAGAAACAGAAGATAAAAGAGCGGTTTTTGAGCGACGTATCAAGAAAATCATTACACCCGCAACAACAGGGTGGTGCGGACACGATCCGCGCAGTGCGGCTAATGTCAAGTAAGTTGAGACGATTTCTGAGGCGCATCCGAATTCGCCCATCTCGTGTCGCAACCGCGTGGCTTGTGGTTTGACAAAACCACCTCTTGCACTACTGGCTTCGTTCGTTCTGCTTCCCTATGTTCATTCTCTTCCTCGTTTTTAAGCGACGCGTCAAGAAAATCACCACACACGCAACAACAAGGCGTTGCCGACACGGATCCACACATACCGTCCACTGTTGGCTTCGTTCGTTCTAGTTCTCCTTTACCTTCCACGGCTGAGATTCAACCATAGATCAAGCGACGTCTGGAAGGGCGCATCGAGTTCTACGACGCATGATGGCGGAGCCACCACGCGGACTCACGGGGGAGTGCGGAAGGTGATGCCGAAGACCTTGTTCTCGTCCGCGCAGCACAGCGACATGATCTGCGCGCCCGTGCGCGCGTGGCGGTACACCGTCGCCTCCGCGTTGTACTCCGCCACGTGCTCGCGCCGCTCCTCCTCGAACCCCAGCCGCGCCACCACCTCGGGACTCGCCGCTGAAGGGGAAAAAGGGGGAATCAGTGGGGGAAATCACGGGATTGGGATATGGTGGGTGGGTTGGCAATTTGACGATCGCGAAGGAAATAATTCTTCGGACGATGCAGGGCGCGTCGCTGTGGTTTAAGAAAAACGGAAATCGCATCTCAGTAAGAATTGATTCCGTTTCCTCCCATGCTGATTTGAGGGCGGAAACCAGGTAAGCCAAGCAAGCAGCGGAGGCACGCGCATGGAGAGAGCAAGGCGAGGGAGATTGACGCGGCGGTGGGTGGAAACCGCATCGGCGATCAACGCGAAGGACTTTATAAGCGGTCGAGCTAATAAACGTAATCTAGAAGCCGGCGATCAGGAAGACGGCAGATCGAGGCCAGGCGAAGTGGCTAGTCACAACAAAGGCGGACCTTGCTGGCTGGCGGGAGCCGTGGCGACGGATCCGGACGGCGCAGCGGAGCACGACACGCCCGGAAATCTTGCAGAATTTGCGGCCAGCTTCCGCGCGAGAACCGCTGACGGCGCAACGGTTCCGCCAGTCAGCCTACGCAATCCGCGCCATGGCTCCCCGCGCAAGCCACGAGGAGCGGTGGTCGGGATCTGAATGACCCCCTTTGCGGACGACCCGCGCGCGACGGAATGCGCGCGCGGAACTGCGGAAGGCGCAACAGCAGCCGCGGAAGTGCCAACGGCCGTGGAAAGAGCGCCTGACATGACTGCTGACGTCAGCGTGCGGAGAGCGGAGTACGGGGAAGCGCGCGACGCAGAAAGGTACCGAGAGGCAGCCACTGATGCCAATGGCAAATCCCTCGGTAGAGGGACCGTCCGTGGAGCTAAGAGCGCGAAAGACGGGCGGAATTGGACCAGAAGCGCACGAGCAGCACCAGACATTAACTCAAAACTAACACTGGACTTTCAAATAAACGAGCTTTATGGCCTGTGCTGGCCTAACGCGTAAGCCCTGCCGACTGAGTGTGTTGAAGCCTTCTGTATCATCCCTGAAGGTTGGAAAATGGTGGTGTGTGGATTCTCGAGCGTGTGTGGGAGTCCAGTGGAGAATGTTCCAGCTGGATACAACTGCGTGCGGGGAAAGGGCTGAGGTGAGGGGGAATTTCTGGGTGGGTGGGGGGTGTGTGGCGGGAATCCGTGGTGTGGTGGTGCGGGTGAAATTTCTGGCAGGGGGGGTGCACGTGGACAGATGGAAGTGGTGTGATTTACGAGATGACGTGGTTTACCCTCGTGGATGGGTTACGAGATCACCACGTGGAGGAACGAAGCAACCAGTGCTGGTGAAGGTATGGTGTTTTTGTAAAACCGAAATTCTAAACATTATTTCTCCCTGGTTTTTGCAGAGACTGTACAATTTCTCACTTAAGGATCACAATGTCGGGTATTTTAATAGCGCGAATTCTATTTGTTGCAAGAGAATTCTTCCCGCACTACACCGCACCCAACCATGCATGACGCCTGGTCCTCAGTTTCATTCTCCACAGATTCTCCGAGTACTGAAACGCCAATGCGATCCGAGTCATATTATTGCCTCCTAGGAGTTCCCTGCTGCTTGAAGCTGCCATTTTGGTCGCTTCTGTGGCGTTCGACCGTGCTCTGACGTGGTCGTTACCTGCGTGCACGTCGCGCCGTAGTTCGCGGGGAACAAGGACGTTTCTGTGGCTGTTTTTCCCCAACGCCATGGCGAGAGGTTCGGTTTCCGGTCTGGGAAGGCTGAGACTGCTCCTAGCCTACGCTAGACCGTCCGATCAAGCCCAACGTTTTGTTACCGCCCATCCCTCGATCTCGCAACTCGCATCTTCCCACGCCGTTTTGCCAGCAGCCAGCACGCGTTCGGATCTACCTCCCCCACATGCACCTCGCGATCCGCCATCCGCCCATGCGCCATATGTCCCCGTCACTCCATCTCCCGGAACCGTCAGTGCCAGATCCGTCACCGTCCAACCCGTTAGTGCGAGATCCGTTACTAATGCCACTGCATTCGCTAGTACACTGGCGGTCCACTCACTCTCGATGACTCCCAGATCCCTGATCGCCGCTCCATCTGTGATGACGTCATCCGCATCGTCGCTTACGTCACATCTGTTATCTCCGCCGTCGCTTTCGTCGCCGCCTTTGTCGTCAACGTCCGCTCGTAGCTGGCTGCTGGCTGCCGGCGCCTCATTCTCATTGGTCGCCGCGTTTTCCGGGATGGCAACGGTGGCGGCGAAGGAGCGGCCCGAGGTGGATCTGGGTCGCGACACGGAGGTGGTGCTGTACCAGTACGAGGCGTGCCCGTTCTGCAATAAGGTCAAAGGTACACTACTGAATAATGCCAAAACTGCACTATCAAATGGCAATTTTGGCGCAAACACCGGTTTGTCGGGCGTGCTGGTATCCCCTGCTACCTCTCCTCGCAATGCACGTCACGCCAACATATTTTGTCTTCAACCGCCGCCTGCTCCATTTCTGTGCGCTGCTTGTTTCCACAGCCTTCCTGGACTACTACGACATCCCATACCGCGTGGTGGAGGTGAACCCCGTGGGCAAAAAGGAGCTCAAACGCTCGCCCAACAAGCAGGTCCCTGTGCGATTGAAAACATCACTTGCGTGCCATGCCTTCCCATACTTGCGCTGCTTGTTTCCGCAGCCTTCTTGAACTACTACGACACACCGTACCGCGTGGTGGAGGTGAACCCGGTGGGCAACAAGGTCCAACGCTCGTCTCGTCGTCAATGGGGAGCCCCTTCTCCACTCCTCACGTGTCTCTCCTCCTCCTCTCCCCTCACCACTGATCCCTCTCACTACAGCCTTCCTGGACCACTACGACATCCCGTACCTCGTGGTGGAGGTGAACCCGTCAGTGGGAAGTTGATTGTCGTCTCCTCACGTGCTTCGCTTCTCCCGTCGACTCAACAGCTGCCCTCTCCTCCTTGTCGCCTTTCCCCCCCCCCCCCCCCACCGCAGCGTTCCTGGACTACTACGACATCCCGTACAGGGTGGTGGAGGTGAACCCGGTGGGAAAGAAGGAGCTCAAGTGGTCGCCCTACAAGAAGGTCCCCGTGCTCGTCGTCAACGGCGAGTCGCTCGTCGACTCCTCAGGTGCGGCTCTTGTCCCTTGTTGTCCCTTCGTGTCTCTCTCGCCTTCGCTCCCTGGAGAAAATGCCTAGGTCTTGTCATACAACCCCCCGGGTCCCCACCTCCGCACCCACTCGCTGATGGCTTCGTTCTCACCCCCCCTCGCCTTGCTGCTACCTCCCTATGCGCCAACCCGCTGCATATCAGCCATGCACCCTCCCTTTGCTGCTTTCCTTGAAACTCGCCCCCTCTCCCATTCTCCGTCCCCCTTTACCCCTTACCTTCCCCTCCTCTCCCCTCCCCCTTCCCCCCTCCCTTCTCCCCCCAACCCCCCGCCCTCTCTCCCCCCACCGCGCGCCAGCCATCATATCAGAGCTGCACCGCCGCCTGAACCCCTCCAAGGCCACCAACATCCCTGCCGCCACCCCTGCTGCTTCCGCCGCCGCGTCCGCCGCGGCGGCTTCCGCGCCTGGCGCGTATGCCAGCGCCATCGGCGGCGGGAGTGGCAGCAACGCGGGCGGGACTAGCAGCAGCGGGGGCGGTGGTGTGGCGGAGGGTGTGGCGGAGGTTGTGGGGCACGTGGGCGAGCGGGGCGTGGCGGAGGGACAGGCGGAGGAGGAGCTGGACGAGGAAACCCGATGGCGCAGGTATGGTGTGGGGGAGAGAGAGGGGGGAGGGGGAGCAAGAGTAGGGGATTCGGGACGAGGCGAAGAGGGGTGGGCGAGGGGGGTGTGGCGGAGGGGCAGGCGGAGGAGGAGCTTGATGAGGAGACCCCATGGCGCAGGTATGGCGTGGGTGAGGAGGGAGAGAAGGGGGGGCGGGAGTAGAGTTGGGGATTCGGGACAAGGCCAAGAGGGTTGGGGGGGTTGGAGTAGGGCATTTGGAAAACAAGGAATGGGGGTGGGGGAGAGGGGGAAGGAGCGGAAGCATATGCCGTTCATTCCATTCCACGTGAAAGTGTCTCAGTGTGGGAGCAAGGGACGCGTAGAGAAGGGGGGGAGGGGGGTGGATGGGCATCTGGTGCATCTGCCCTCGCCTAACATCTACCGCCTCTTGAGGCTCCTCAAAATTTGTGTGCCTCTATCATTCTCTCTCTCTCTCTCTCTCTCGTCTCTCTTTCATCATGGCAGGTGGGTGGACGGGCACCTGGTTCATCTGCTCTCGCCCAACATCTGCCGCCACTCGAGGCACCTCAAATAACAGTTATCCCATGCGCTTCCCTCTCTCTCTCTCTCTACTCTCTCTCTCATCTATTGCAGGTGGGTGGACGGGCACCTGGTGCATCTGCTCTCGCCCAACATCTACCGCCTCTTGAGGCACCTCAAAAGCTGTGTGCCTTTCTCACTCTCTTTAGCTCTCTACTCCCTCTCTCATCCATGGCAGGTGGGTGGACGGGCACCTGGTGCATCTGCTCTCGCCCAACATCTACCGCTCTTTGAGGCGCCTCGAGTAACAGTTATCTCGTGTGCATCTCTTACTCTTTCTTTCCCTCCCTACTCGCTGTCTCATCTATCGCAGGTGGGTGGACGGGCACTTGGTGCATCTGCTCTCGCCCAACATCTACCGCTCGCCCTCTGAAGCACTAGAGGCATTTGACTACATTGCCACCAATGGTACCACCTCCCACCCACCACTACCTCTGCTGCACTTCTGAATTGAGTTGACTCATACGTCCCTCTGAGGCGCTACAGGCATTCGACTACATCGCCACCAATGGTACTGCTTCCGTGCCCAACACACCCACCACCACTGCTGCTGCACTTATGAGTTGACTCAAACAAACGACCCTCTGAGGTGCTAGAGGCATTCGACTACATTGCCACCAATGGTAATGCTTCCCCCCCGACCACCTCCACTGCTGCACTTACGAATTGACTTATGAGCGTGCGGTGCAGCGAATGGGCGTGCGGTGCACCCTTCTTTTTCCTCCCCTCCTCGCCCATGCAGGCAACTTCTCGCCTTTTTCAGGCAACTTCACAGCATGGGAGCGCAACTTCACAGCATGGGAGCGCATGATGGCTGGGTATTCTGGAGCAGGTGCCATGTATGTGATCGGGAAGAAGCTCAAGAAGAAGCACGGCATAGCGGACGAGTCCTCTATCTACGAGTGTCAACTCAACAATCCTTTCTCCTTCTCCCCACCCTCGTCCCCCGTTCAGGCAACTTCACGGCATGGGAGCGCATGATGGCTCGCTACTTTGGAGCGGGCGCCATGTATGTGATCGGGAAGAAGCTCAAGAAGAAGCACGGCATAGCAGACGAGCGCGCCGACCTCTACAAGGCGGCTGATGAGTGGGTGGCGGCTCTCGGCGACAGGAAGTTCCTTGGTAGGTTGCCTGTGGGTTGAGTGCGGTGATTGGGATGCATGGGTGTGTCTTGAGTAGACTCAAACACATTGCCCTTTAAAAGGCGACAGGGAGTTCCTCGGTAGGTTGCCAACGGGGTGCTGCTCAGAATCTATCTGAATTTCCCTTGTGATAGTGTGCTTCATGCTCACGTGGCAAAGCTGTGATTTTTTTGTATAAAGTGTCTGGTGTGAGTTCCTTCATGGCCCCCCCTGTCATATCGCACCCTTGCTCACTTTGATGCCCTGAGTGCTCTGTTCTATCCTTCCCCCACCTCCTCCCCCCCTTCCCCCCCACCTCTTCCCACCCTCCATTTTCTGTTTGTTTCTTCTTTTGTTTGGTTCCGTGCCAACAGGAGGAGAGACCCCGAACCTCGCTGACCTGGCGGTGTTTGGAGTGCTGCGGCCAATCAGGCACCTGACAGCTGGCAGGGACATGGTGGCGAATTCGAGCATAGGGCCATGGTACGAGCGCATGGAGGAGCACGTGGGGGCTTCTGCCAGGATCACCGCTGTTGAAGGTGCTGCTGTGGGCAAGTAAGGGTGTAAGGTGCCCGGCGGCAAGTTGGGGTATGAGCGCAGCACGTGGGGGCTTCTGCCAGGATCACCGCTGCTGATGGTGCCACTGGTGTTGGTGCTGCGGGCAAGTAGGGCTGGGAGGTGCCCGGGGGCAAGATGGGTTAGAGAATTCGAGTATAGGGCCGTGGTACGAGCGCATGGAGCATTACGTGGGGGCTTTTGCCAGGATCACCGCTGCTGATGGTGCTGCTGCGAATGGTGCTGCGATGGGCAAAGTAGGGCTGTGAGGTGCCGTGGGGCAAGAGAGTTTGAGCATAGGGCCATGGTACGAGCATAGGGCATACGAGCGCATGGAGCAGCAAGTGGGTGCCTCTGCCAGGATCACCGCTGCTGACGGGGCCGCTGCTGATAGTGTCGCCGCCAGTGGTGCCGCTGCTGGTGGTGTCCCTGCTGGTGGTGCTACTGCCCATGGTGCTGCAGTCTCTCAGGGTCACGGTGCTGCTGCAGAGCAGTAGGGGTCCAGGTGCCCGAGGGCAAGACAGGCTAGAGGGTTCGAGCTTGGGGGGGGACGTGGCAGGACCAGATGAAGATGGTGGCGGTCCCTGCTGTTGGAAGAAGCAGGTAGGGGTGGAGGTGCGCTGCAGAGGTGAAGGCTCTGCTGCTTTGACGGTGGATGGTCGTGTAGCGGCGATTGCCGTGAGTTGAGTACGTGGGCCACTGAGAGCGTCCATGTGTGGGAGATGGCATATTGGCACTGTAGTGCCAATGGGGCAGTGAGCACTGAAAGGGTGGTGGTTTATGGTTCAGGCGATGCGACTTAGCTCTGCGGTAACCGGCTCCTGATTATCCGGTGCTAGCTGATATGGTTGTGGAGGGAAGGTAACGGAATGCACGGAAAGCTAATGATGACACAAATACCAGCTTAAATTCTTAGTTCAGCTAGTTTTCTCATGGCATAAAGAACGCTATTAAGCTGTCAGTGGTATGACATCCATATGTGAAAAAACACGCCGAAGGCCAAGCCAACAGACAGAAACAACACTATGCATTGTAGTGAAGAGCCCCTTCAAATAAACACGAGATACACTACCTCACTTCGAAATCGCGCTGGACGCATCATATCACTCGTGTCGCCATCGATATAATCGCATGTACATCGTGGACGATCTTTTTGGGCCTGCCTGGTGTCACTGTGAGAAAATCTGTACGACAAATCGGCTGCTTCTGAAGGCTTCACGCGATAAAATCAGGTCACATCAGTCCTCTCTCCCACCCTCCCACTCCCAACCCATTTCACACCGAGAGAAATCCCTCTCCATCCCCAAACCCAATTTCAAAGTTCGCCCTTCAACTGATCTGCTCCGCTCTGCTGCCCTATCGACTGGATTTGAGCAACCGTTTTGCTGCTGCGAGAAATCATTTCGGATGGTGTTCACATGCGAGAGTCGTCTTTTTGCATCTCTCCGATTGTCTTATCTACGCGTCAACCACGCGGTCCCGCCCGGCTCATGCAGCTTTGCTGCTTCCACGATCGCATGCTTCGTAGAATAAAATTCCACCGTCTATCAAAGCGACACTAGGAAATACGCACTCTCCACTTCGCCTGAATATCTCAATGGACAACCACGGCGGTGAAGGAATATATTAGAGAGCGTAGCGATAGCGAGAGAGTCTCTGCTATGGGAATGATGTTGCGCCAGCAACTTGGTAGAGTTTTGGTAGCGTTTGCCTCTAAGGACTTTGTGAGAATTGAAGTAGCATTTGGGCCAAGTAGAATTGCAATATCAATTATCAAACACACAAGCAAACACAAACATATATAGGCAAGCAAGAGTTGCACAATTGTTGCGTGGCGCTGCGAGTAACCCAACCCACACGAAAGTGCTGTGCAGGTGGGTGAACGCGCCCCGCACATTTCCAACCCAACTCGGCACCGGAATGTCTCACCGTGCACGCTACTCCTGCCAACACAGCAAGTGAGCAGCGTGCCTCACAAGCAAGGCACCTACGACCCCCAAGACTCGTCATTCCTAGCACCGATTCCGCCGAGTTCGCTGCAGTAGCTCACAGTCACCCGTAGTCACTAATGACCGCCACCGAATTCGTGCGTCGGTGCCGAGTAGACTCAGTCGTTAGGCGCCGACCTGCCAAGTCAAAGGTCATCGAGGGCCCTTGCTGTCGTAGGGCCCTCTAACACTCCCCTGCCATACTACAGCAAGGCCCTTTATAATCACAGGGCATGCATACACACATACACACCAAAACAAAGGGATACACACAAACGAAACACGCTCAAAGTGTAAACACGCACCGCACCAGCCATGGATAGGCCATGGCACCATCCACATCATGGAGTGTCTAGGTCTCACTCCCCTCGCTCGAGAGCCGCACCTGCCCCACAGCCTCGAAGCAACGACTGAAGGCGGGGAAATGCAATGCCTTTGTGAGGTAGTCAGCAGGCTGCTCGCTCGTAGGGATGTACTGCAGCTGCAGCTTCCTGCGCTTGACCATGTGCTGCAGCCACATGTGACAACGCTCCATGTGCTTGAGGCTCCCCTTGAGCCCCATGCCACCTGCCACTGAAATGGCGGAGGAGTTGTCCACAAAGAGAGTAGTGGGCTCCTCACTCCTCAGCAGTTGAAACTCCGCCAGCAGGAAGCGCAGCCTGCGCGCCTCCTTCCCAGCCTCCACAGCAGCAACATACTCAGACTCAGTGGAGGAGAGGGTGGCGCAACGAATCCTCTGGCTCGCCCAAGAGACAGCAGCACCCCCGAGCACGAAGACATAGCCACCAGTGCTGGTCCTGTTCTGCTTGTCTCCCGCATCATCAGCATCGGCGTAGCCCACCAGCTCCAAGGACTCCGGCCCCCCACCAAACTCCAGCGCCACATCCCTGCTCCCCACCAAGTACGTCAAGCACCGGTCCAACTCCTTCCAGTGCTGATCACTCCGCACAGTCTGGCCCGACCCCAGCTTGCTGCAGGCGAACGAGATGTCGGGACGGGTGGTACAGGCCGCGAACTGCAAGGATCCCACCTTCTGCCTGTACTCCTCCTCCTGGCGAGACTGCCATCCCACATCCTCGAAGGTCTGCACACTGAAAGGGTCAGAGGAAAGAGGGGTGCGAGGCACTCGCAGCGGCTGCTCCCCGTCAAAGAAGCGCCTATGGACCTTGTCCACATAGGCCCCCTGGTGCAGCCACAGCCTCCTCGTGGGCCTGTCCCGAATCAGCTGCAACCCCAGATATTTCTCCACAGGGCTAATCTCCCGCAGCTGAAAGGCACTCTGCAGCAGGTCACGCAGCTCCGCTAGCATGCTCTGACTGCGGCTGGCAGCAAGCAAGTCATCCACATACACCAGCAGCCAGCACATCTCCCCCTCAGCATCACTCTTGAAGTACAGAGCCTCATCCACTTGGCTCTTCTTCCATCCAGCCCCAAGCAGCACCCCATCCAAGGCCTCATACCACAACATCGGGCTCTGCTTGAGCCCATACAGGCTCTTCACCAACTTACATACACGAGGAGTCCCATCCTCGTAGTAGCTCGGCTGCTCCATGTAAAGGTCTCGGTCTAGCACGCCATGGAGGAACGCGTTCTTCACATCGAGCTGCATCAGGTCCAAATCAAGTGCAGCTGCAATCGCCAGAAGCACACGCGCCGTCACATAGCTTCCCACAGGGGCGTACGTCTCCTCATAGTCCACCCCTGCCACCTGCGTGAACCCCTTTACCACCAGCCTCGCCTTCTCACGCTCCACTATCCCATCAGGTCGGAACTTGGTGTTCAAAATCCAGCGGTTCTTCATCACATTCACCCCTGGCGGACGCGGAACCAACTCCCACGTCCCCTGCTCAATCAAGCTCCGCATCTCCTCATCCATCGCCTCCTTCACCTTGTCTCCCTTCCAGCAGCCCAAGGCCTCCTTCACTGTCATTTTCGCTATGTCCCACTGCCTCTCAGGATCAGCTGCCACGTCCGGGTCCAGGTTAGTCCACTCCTCGTCCTCCTCCTCGTCATCCAAGCCCGCTGGCTCAACCACTACAGCCCAAGCGTATCGAACACGCGGGACACCACGAGTGATGCGAGTGGAGCGACGCAGTGGTGCAGTGGTCGTCCCAGAAACCAACACACGACCACCATCTCTAATTCCCCACATCTCCTGCTCCCCTGTCTGCTGCTCCCCAATCTGCTGCTCCCCTGTCTGTTGCTCCCCTGTCTCCTGCCCCCCACTCTGCTGTACTCCATCCATACTGCTCTCGTCCTGCAGCTGCTCAGTCTCAAGGCGCTGCCCGTCGGTGATCTCCACAGACGGTGGCACCTCCATCCCCCCCTCACCAACGGGCGGCGCCGTGGAAGACGAAGAAGAGGGCGGAGCAGGTGCAGGAGGGATGGAGGGTGGAAGGGGAGATGGAATAACAGGAGGAGGAGGGGAAGCCAAGGGGGGTGAGGAGGAAAAAGGCGGGGCAGGGGGAATCACACGAGGGTAGACTGAAGGCGGAGGTGGGGTGGGGACCGAGGTAGGGACATAGGGCATAGCAGGAGGTGCGACCACCTCCTCCTCCTCCTCCGCCTCCTCGAGAGTGATCGGGAAGAGTGAGGGAAGGGGCTCATAGGGCATCGAACGCCCCCCATGCTCCTGCTGATGCCAAGCCTTCCATCCTGCTAGGGACATGGTCTCATAGAACACAGCTTCCACAGTGGTGATGAGGCGGTTGGACTCCAAGTCCAGCACGGCCCAGCCCTTGCTCGCAGCTGACACACCCAAGTGCAACCCCCAGCGAGCCTTAGGCGCCAGCTTCCCCCCACGCTGCGACTGTGGTACCATGTACTGCAGCATGCAGCCCCAAACACGCACCATACTGACATCAGGTTTGCGTCGGAAGGCGAGCTCGTACGGCGTCACACCAGAGGGTAGTGAGGCGTGCTCCACGCGGTTGCGCACCCAGACGGCCTGAGCCAACGCCAGGTGCCACCAGTGATGCTGCACACCCATGTGCAGCAACATCGTCCGCACCGCCTCCACAATGCTGCGCATCTCCCTCTCGGCCATCCCGTTCTGCTCCGGCGTATACGGGCATGTGAGGTCATGGATGATGCCTTTACCGTCGAGGAAGAGCGTGAAGTCGTGCCCCAGGAACTCGCCACCCTGATCAGTGCGCAGCGCCTGCACCGTGGTCTTGCACTGTCGCTCTGCCATCGGGAGCCACTTCTGGAACGCCGCCAGCGCATCACTCTTCTGGGCCAAAGGGTAGGCCCAGACATATCGCGTCTTGCGATCCTTCAGCACCAAGAAGTAGCGGCTGCCGTCCTTAGCTGCTTCACGGAAAGGGCCACACAGGTCAGCATGCACCACCCCGAGCAACTCATCCTCCTCCTCTCCCACAGAAGGAAAGGTATGACGAGTGATCTTTCCCCCAACACAGGAGACACAAGGTATGCCTGACTTGCCCCCCTTCTCCAAATCCAAGCCCTTCACTGACCCGTGAGCCGCTGTGCGCTCGATGGCATCAATACCAACGTGTGCCATACGCGCATGCCACAGGTCCCCCTTAGACCGTACGCCGGTCGCCAAGGTACGAAGTGCCACCGTTTCGCCTTCCTGCTGCTGCGTCGAACACGGCTGGAAGTTCGTGCAGAGAACACGCCCCTTGAACTCCGCACGACCAAGGAGCGATCCATCTGGTGCCCGCAGCAAAGTCACATCCCCGGCATCCAGCAGCTGCACACCACTATCACGCAGCTGCCCAGCAGAGAGAAGACTCGCCTGCACTCCTGGTACGTACAGCACGTCCGGCACCAAGACACGCCTGCCCCCCTCCCCAAGAAGAGCGACTGTGCCTCGCCCCTGCACCTCCTGAAGGGCGCCGTTGAAGCCGGTAACCTGCTTAATGCTGCCGCCGCTGCTCATCTCCACAAAGGCAGAACGATCTCCCATGAGATGGTGGGAGCATCCGCTATCAAGCAGCACGACGCTCGGGTTCGCCTTCACAGCAGCTGCAACAGCCTGTAAGCCCTCCCCGGCCTCAGACTCTAGCACAACGAGAGGAGTCTGCTCCACAACTGGCTTCACCATCGCACATGATGACTGCCCGCTCCCCTTAGAGCCATCACCCCCCTTTCCGCTGCTACCTCTAGAACCCTCTCCACCGGTGTCTGCCTCCTTATCCGCCCGCTGCTGACAGTACTTAGCAACATGCCCTATTTGTCCACACACATAGCACTTCCCCTTGAAGCCCCCTTTCCCCCCCTTCGGCTGGCCATCCTTACCCCCTTTCCACTTCTCCCCTCCCCCACCAAGCCCACCCCCATTCTTAGGCTGCTGCTGCTGTGCCGTAGTGGGAGGGGAAGGGAATGAAGTCTGCTGGAATTGGGGCTTACCCTTCTTGGTAAAGACCTGGTTAGCCTGGGGAAGAAATTGGTCCTTTCGTCCCTCTGCCGCCAGCGTACACTCCTCCTCGATGATGTAGCTAGCGAGGGTGTCCTCGTCCAACTCCTTGCGAACCTGCGGCAACTTCAGCATCCTGCGTAAGAGGTTGTACTGCTGCAGCAACCCCTTCACAACGTGAGTGATGTACGACGCCTGCGAGTAATCTACGCTCTCAGGTTCACTAGGATCTGCTGCGCACGGTTGCAATAGGACGTAGCGGACTCGTGCTCTCCCATCTCGAGGTTAGTGAGCGCCTGCTCTAACTGACCGATGTACAGATCGTCCTTCGCCATGTACGTGCGCATAATAAACTGCCATGCCTGATAGCCGGCATCGACCTTCATGCGACACGCCTTAAGGGCGATCTGTACGGTTGGGGAGCAGCATCGGGAAATGGTGGTGAATGTCAGCAACTGCATCGCGCGGAACTGAGAGAGATGAGCAAGCGCACGCGCTGGTGGAATGGGGGTGGTGCCATCTATGAATCGCTTTAGCTGAGCGATCTCAAGCTGCGGCTCGATTGATTCTGCCCACGTCGACAGGTCGTGACGTCCTTCTAACGGCCTAGTGACAACGATCTTGTCTGGAGTGAATCTGAAGTAGCCATAGTTGGGGGCTATTCCCTCATCCCTCGACATCGATCCAATCGGGGTAACGCCCGGCATAGCCTCACTATCGAACTCTTCCGCAATTCCTCCTCCAGCAACGCTCCGCCGTCCTACATTCGCATGCTCTCGTGACGCTGCTGCACGATGAACACGCTCCTGTACACCGCCAACGCTAGTCGTACTAAACCGAGTTGGTCCTCGCAGGACCCCACGCGACATCAACCCATCAAACTCCTCGTCATCGCTATTTCCGCCATCGACAGCCATATCCCACGCACTAGTACCTCCCGCAACTTGCTCAACATTCTCTACACGTGGCGAAGGGTGCTCACGACGCCGACGCGAGCGCAATCCCTCCAACATTAGCTCGTATTCGATATCACTAATCTCACCACGAGAATGACGAGCCACGAGATCCTCCTCTAGGGCGCGCAAATTACCGGCCTCCACGTTCGCCTCCTCTGTACTCATCCTCTACGACGTCTCTATAAGGTACCACAAATTAAAATAAAGTGCCCCTTCCTTAAATCCCTCGTCTCGGGGTCACCTCACAAGGGTCCTCAGACGAGTGGTAATAAATTACCAAACGCCCTATCCTTGGGTCTGAGAACGTAACTGGAGGGAAATCAAGAGAGGTTCAACTTAGATTAATAAGCGCCCTTCACTAACGCCGCACGCCAAGGCGAGTATACGAACGCGAATATCAACGACGACGGAAATCTATGCGTGTTCGTTCCACGCTCACCGCACCATGAAGGAATATATTAGAGAGCGTAGCGATAGCGAGAGAGTCTCTGCTATGGGAATGATGTTGCGCCAGCAACTTGGTAGAGTTTTGGTAGCGTTTGTCTCTAAGGACTTTGTGAGAATTGAAGTAGCATTTGGGCCAAGTAGAATTGCAATATCAATTATCAAACACACAAGCAAACACAAACATATATAGGCAAGCAAGAGTTGCACAATTGTTGCGTGGCGCTGCGAGTAACCCAACCCACACGAAAGTGCTGTGCAGGTGGGTGAACGCGCCCCGCACATTTCCAACCCAACTCGGCACCGGAATGTCTCACCGTGCACGCTACTCCTGCCAACACAGCAAGTGAGCAGCGTGCCTCACAAGCAAGGCACCTACGACCCCCAAGACTCGTCATTCCTAGCACCGATTCCGCCGAGTTTGCTGCAGTAGCTCACAGTCACCCGTAGTCACTAATGACCGCCACCGAACTCGTGCGTCGGTGCCGAGTAGACTCAGTCGTTAGGCGCCGACCTGCCAAGTCAAAGGTCATCGAGGGCCCTTGCTGTCGTAGGGCCCTCTAACAGGCGGGAGCAACATTGCGGAGCCTCCACACAAGCTCTAATCCAACGAAACGATGACGCCATGGATATTTTTCCCTTTCCTCGTTTTACTTTCTCAAAGACTTCTGAGATTATTTTGTACATCCGTGCCTGGGATTTTCTTGCCTTCCGTTTCAAGCATTCTACGCCGAGCAACTTTCACTACTACCGGCAGAGACCACAACCATGGCAGTCGTAGCCTCAGAGCCCCGGACGCTAGAGCGTCTCTGCTCGTCCAAATTTGCCAAACAGCTCAAGCGCGCCTCGTTCCTGCTGGGCTCGGGCGACCTGTGGGAAATGCTCGCTGACGCGGAGGAGGCGAAGGCTACCACCCCCGCCGCTCAAGGTGGTGACGGCGCGGGTTTCGCGAGACGGCCATGGAAAGTGAGCAGCCGCGTCGTCGCGCGCATCGAGGCGTCGCTGTCGCGCTTCACGTGGCGGAAGCCGCCGCCGTCCCCCACCGCCCCGAGCAAACCGCCCAAGTCGCCGATAGCCGCCAGTGTCACCGCCGATCCGCCAGCATTGTCACCGAAATCGCCCAATCTCGCGTCGAGGAGGTTCAAGCAGCGCGGCGCCGCGGAGTCGCAGATTCAGTTCCGCGTCTCCCCGTCGCCACGCGCCTCCGCCGCTCGCCCCTCTGCGGGACTTGATTCCGCCGCCGCCCGCAAGCGCAATGCCGTGCACGGCACGCAGGAGGAGCCCGTCAGTCGCGGGGCGCTCGCGGCTCGTCGCGGGCGGGCGAGCTTGAGCATGGATGAGGGGCAGCTGCGCGCATGGCAGCAGCACGGCGCCGCAACGCCTTCAGACGTCGTTGACACAGATAGTCTCGACAGGAATGACGTTAATGAAAACGTATTGTTTCCGAAGGAGTCGGAGGATCTGGATCCGGCGGGTCGTGCTGACATTGCAGAGCGGTCTTCCGCGGGATTGGCGCATTCCAGCAGTCGATGCACTCAGAGCGGCCCGTTGCGGCGGCGGAGCGACGACAAGCGACCGAGCAGCAGGGCCATGCGGAGCCCTGCTGCTAGCGGCAGCGGAAGGGCCGCAACGGGGAGCCCTGCTACTAGCGGTAGCGGGAGAGGCGGCAGCAGCAGGGCTATGGTGGTTGGCGTGTCGCGGTCGCTCACCCCCCCTTCCAGCCCTACCGTTAAGACGTTCTCGTTCGAGGCGTACCGGCAGCAGCAGATGGCCGCGCAATGATGTCCTAGGGTGTGTGCCTCGCTAATTGTTAGTTGGTCCTTTCGTTTGATGTATAGAGTTGCCGTATCTGCTTGACAGGCGAAGTAGATATATGCTGCAAAGAGCTCTTTTCTTGCTCGAAGGACGAGGAGAACAATCACGGTTCGGATCTGTGGTGGAACCTTGGAATAATTGTTTCAGAATTGCTAGAATCAAGATTCGAGTGGTCACGTGCGGTTCAGCTCGGTTCCTCACTCTGTAACACGGTTTTTTCGATCATCTCGAGTTTGAAAAACCCAAGATTCAAGCTAACGGGATCATTTTGACACACACTAGCCTAGAGTACTGTGTCTACTTCCATCGTCACCCCTATCACTGCGGCTCGCGGTGTACCCTCCCTAAGCAACACGACCGCGACGCATATTAGTTAACGCGCTCGAACACACGTGTGCTTCGGAGATGACGTATCAGTCGATCGCCAGGTGGATCGACGGCACTGGTCGCGCCATGACGTCAGCCTCTCGTATAAGTACCGCGCAGGGTCACGACATTGTCTTAACGCGATTCCTGACCGTCAAGTCTACCGATTTACATGATCGTCTAGAATGCCGGCGCGGGGCGGATGTCAACAGTAGCGGGACCGCCGGACGACCGCTTGCGTTGCGCAGAGGCGTTGAAACTGCCACCTGGGTCACCGCTGCGCGCTCCGATCGCTCTGGGTGTAGCAGATCGCTGGTTCCCGCTGCGTTCGCGTTGACTCATAAGCAGACTACATTCAAGAGCTCGCTCGTATGCTCGCGATCTGCTGGCGCGCCTTGCGTCACGAGCGCCATTTGGCGATCCGCGACTGACATTCCCTCGCTTAGCTTGGTCAGCCCAAGTGTCCCGACAGGTCCTGTCAGCGCGATTGGCGCGCAGCGTGCGCGTAGCTTCCGGCGATGTAGCACCATTTCCCGTGTGCGGGCGGGAAGCGGGAGCGCGGAGGCACGGGATGGCGCGGGGAATGGCGCGGGGGGCGGCGCGGATGCGCGCGAGGAAAGGGAGGGGTTCGCGGCCGACGGGATCATCGTTCTGGCGGGCGGACTGAAACGCGACGGCACCGTTCCAGGTGCGCTGCAATCGTTACTGATGCGCTTCACTGCTCCGTTGCCCCTTGCACCTGATGCCGCGCTGTGACAGCGCTTATGCAGCCTTTCCATAATGATTCTTATGCACCCACTCTTCATTCCCATCTCACCTTCCCCTTTACCCACTCACCATTTCCACTTCCCTTCCCTTCCCCCTCCCCGTCTCCTCCCCGCTCCCCTCCCCCTTCCCCATCCCCCCCCCTCGCGCCGCAGAGCAGAGTGGGTGGAGCGGCGCCTGGATGCAGCGGCGGAGCTCTACCGCGCCTTGCACGGGGGGGAGGGGGAGGGGGAAGGGGAGGACACTCTTGCAAATGGGAGCCAGAGGGAAGCCGCCTCCGCCTCCGCTGCCTGCCGCTGCCCCATAGTGGTGCTGGGGGCAGGCACGCCGCACGTGCAGCCAGTGCTGAATCAGCACGGACACATGTGGCATGAGAGCAGTGCGTGCGCACAGTACCTCATGGACAAGGTATTATTTGGGGTAGGTGGCATCTTGGGCAGGTGGCATCTGGCAGGTCGCTGTAGCTCAGTGACAAGGTAGCAAGGTAGCGCCCAGGGCAGGAGGGTGCTTACACCCACGGAGGGATGGTCATGTGAGTGAGAAGTGGTGACTGCGATGCTGCACAATAGATTCCTCTCTAGAATGTTGCTCATGCATCAACACAGCCACCTGCCACACCTCTCCGCCCCATCCCCCACCACAGCACGGCATCCCCCCCGCACACATCTACAAGGAGTGGGCATCATACGACACCGTGGCCAACGGCTTCTTCTCGCGAGCGCCTCGAAACACACCCTCCACATCCCCTCCACCCCCACACGCTTGCTCTCCCCTGTTACCCACTTTCTTCCACAGCACGGCATCCCCTCCTCCCACATCTACAAGGAGTGGGCGTCATACGACACAGTGGCAAATGGCTTCTTCTCCCTCGTGTGGCACGCCGTGCCGCGGCGCTGGCAGCGCCTGCTCGTGCTCACGTCCGCCTTCCACATGCCGCGTTCCGCCCTCATCTACGACTGGATCTTCTCCCTCCATGGCTCTGGCTTTGCTCATCCTCACGCTCCTCACGCTCCTCCACTGCTTTCACCCTCCTCCTCCTCCTCCTCCTCCTCCTCCTCCTCCTCCTCCTCCTCCTCCTCCTCCTCCTCCTCCTCCTCCCTCTCCCTCCCCCTCTCCCCCTTGCGCCCACCACACGGCCAATGGGAGGAGTACATTCCGCCCTGGCGTTACCATGGGGGGAGGGCGGATGGAATAGGGGCGACTGGGGAAGGTGGACTCGAGGGAGGGTGGCCTGCAGGAGAGGGTGGGGAGAAGGCAGGGGGGAATGGGGCTCTGTTGGGGGATTCAACTGATCAGGTGGTTTCTCAGATGCCGTCACCTGGGGATCCGTTGGAGCAGGGCTATGAGATTCGGTTCATCAGCGCATCGGATGCTGGGATCGACCCTGAGATGATTCAGGTAAAACCACCCTGGCATGATTCAGGTGAACCCACCTCATCCACGCTCGCTTACACACACCATCATTCGCCTTCTGCAGCCCTTCATCTCCTCCCCCTGCTTCTCCTGATTCCCAGCACCCCTCCCAACGCTCCCCACCCTCTCAATCCTCCCTTCCCTTTCATCCTCGGACATCATTCGCCTGCTGCAGCCAGGCATAGCACGTATGCATCTTCTCCGCGCCTCGACCTGCTCCTCAGCACCACTTCCAACACTCTCTTCCTCCTTATCCTCCGCATCCTCCCAACACCGCCCTCCTCTTAACACCTCTCCCGCTCAATCTCCCAGGCCCAACAAAGCAAGGAAGCGGACAGATTTCGTCTGCTGCTGCCCTACATTGCATCGGTGCGCTCCCTGCCAACTTTCCACCACCACATGCACACACAGCACCCCTCCCAATTCGCCCTTGTCTGCTCAATCCCCCTCCCTCTCAGGCCTGGCAAAGCAAGGAGGCAGACAGCATTCGCCTGCTGCTGCCCTACATAGAATCGGCGCGCTCCCTGCCAGCATTCCACCACTACAGGCACACACAGCACCCCTCCCAATTCTCCATTGTCTGCTCAATCCCCCTCTATCCCAGGCCCGGCGAAGAAAGGAAGCGGACAGCATTCGTCTGCTGCTGCCTTACATTGCTTCAGTGCGCTCCCTGCCAGCCTTCCACCACTACATGCACACACAGCACCGAGCATACAACGTGCAACACCAGGAAGAGTTTGGGCGGGCGAAGAGTGCAGAGGAGGCGACATTTGATCCAATCAAGCTGTGCTATTGAAGGGGTGTGGAGGGATATTGATGGGTGGTACGTGGTTGAAGAGAGAGGCCGCAGAGAGTCTGCCAGCCTTCCACCACTACATGCACACACAGCACCGAGCATACAACGTGCAGCACCAGGAGGAGTTTGGGCAGGCGAAGAGTGCAGAGGAAGCGACGTTTGATCCCATCAAGCTGTGCTATTGAAGTTGTTTCAGTGGTGGCTGAGTTTTTCACCCTGATTTTCCAGTGCTGTGGGGATAGGTTTGCTCATGCATCAGTGCAAGAACCCTCAGCAGCACACAGCATTGCCAGAAGTAGCAACACAAGTAGCAATGTCCCATGACAGGGAATTTTGTCTCTGTTGCATGTTAATGATTGATTTGCATGAAACAACCAGAATGTATGTATCATACCTGAATAATTCTGTTCATCAGCTCTGCTGCGCCCTGTGCTACTCTTGTGCATGTTAAACTACCGTAGTTTTAGTTCAAATGTCCATGCTGAAATGTATTTGTTTGATCCATAACCTAAGCAGAGCTATCATTATTCAAACAATTATCTAAATCTACAATCATTAATGCAGTTACAAAGCGCGCCATGGACTTCTCTTCGGTCTTCTGGGCCCCTCTTGGCCACTAGGGGGGTTAACCCCTAGTGTTACACCCACACACCACGTTGAGGTGGGGACCCTTCGTGTGGGACCTGCATGGGGACCACGGGGGGTTAGTAGCATGGGGACCACGGGGGGTTAGTAGCATGGGGACCACGGGGGTTTAGTAGCATGGGGACCCGGGGGGTTAGTAGCATGGGGACCACGGGGGGTTAGTAGCATGGGGACCACGGGGGGTTAGTAGCATGGGGACCACGGGGGGTTAGTAGCATGGGGACCACGGGGGGTTAGTAGCACGGGGACCACGGGGGGTTAGTAGCATGGGGACCACGGGGGGTTAGTAGCATGGGGACCACGGGGGGTTAGTAGCACGGGGACCACGGGGGGTTAGTAGCATGGGGACCACGGGGGGTTAGTAGCATGGGGACCACGGGGGGTTAGTAGCACGGGGACCACGGGGGGTTAGTAGCATGGGGACCACGGGGGGTTAGTAGCATGGGGACCACGGGGGGTTAGTAGCATGGGGACCACGGGGGGTTAGTAGCATGGGGACCACGGGGGGTTAGTAGCATGGGGACCACGGGGGGTTAGTAGCATGGGGACCACGGGGGGTTAGTAGCATGGGGACCACGGGGGGTTAGTAGCATGGGGACCACGGGGGGTTAGTAGCATGGGGACCACGGGGGGTTAGTAGCAAACAGCAAGCAAGCAAGCAAGCAAGGAAGCACAGCAACAAACAAGGAAACAACAAGGAAACAGAGAAGCAAAACAAGCAACAAACAACAAGGAAACAGCGAAGATAAACATGCAAAGAAAGCGCGGAGAGCAGCCACTTACAATACCCACCACCGTCCCCGTTGCTGGCGTGCCGTGCAGTCCACCTCCGCTCCGCAACCCCGCAGTGGCACGAGGAGGACATGAGACGTCTCTCAAGCCTCGCTCAAACCAGGCAGAGCCCGGCCCAGGTGGAAGCGGGGTGAGGCTCATCCGACTTCAGGAAGCGTCCCGCCATCCATCATCAGAGCACCCACACACCGCCATCCATCATCAGAGCACCCACACACCGCCATCCATCATCAGAGCACCCACACACCGCCATCCATCATCAGAGCACCCACACACCGCCATCCATCATCAGAGCACCCACACACCGCCATCCATCATCAGAGCACCCACACACAGGGGCGCTTCAGGCGTTAGGAGGCCAGCCCTAACGCCGTTGGCAGCCGCTGCCGCACACCACCTGATGCCACAGTTGGGGGTCTTCAGTGCTCCCCACGCATGTTGTGCATATAAACCTGCACGACGACGAGAGGGGTGGGGAGGGGAGGAGAGGAGAGGGGGGGGTGAGGGGGTCTTCGGTCTTCAGTCTTCAGTCCTCCTGTAAAAAGATTACAAACATAAAACAGCAGTGAGTTTCCCGAGCAGATAAACAAAGCGATACAGCAAGGCGAGAAAATCGGCTTACCAGAGATGAGCAGAAGCGACTGCTCCTCCTCGCCTCTGCTGCATCTCCTGTGTAATGGAAGAGGCAGAATTTAGGAAACGAGTCAAGACAGACAGATGAAGGAAAGTAGGGAAATTGAGCTCACGAAAACTGAAAAACGGCAACGCATACAGAGTCAATGCAGAATGAATTAAAGTGAGAAAAGAGGCTTACCAGAGAAGAGCAGAGGCGACTGCTCCTGTTTCCCCGCTTCGGCTGCTCCTCGCCGCCTCTGCTGCATCTCCTGTGTAATGGAAGAGGCAGAACTTAGGAAACAGTGTTAAGGCAGACAGATGAAGGAAACGGAGTCAAGACAGACAGATGAAGGAAAGTAGGGAATTTGAGCTCACGGAAACTGAAAAACCGCAACGCATACACAGTCAATGCAAAATGAATAATGGCGAGAAGAGGAGGCTTACCAGAGAAGAGCAGAGGCGACTGCTCCTCTTCCTCCGCTCCCGCTGCTCCTCGCCGCCTCTGCTGCATCTCCTGTGTAATGGAAAAGGCAGAATTTAGGAAACAGTGTCAAGGCAGACAGATGAAGGAAACAGAGTTATGGCAGACAGATGAAGGAAAGTAGGAAAATTGAGCTCTCAGAAACTGAAAAACGGCAACGCATACAGAGTCAATGCAAAATGAATCAAGGCGAGAAGAGGAGGCTTACCAGAGAAGAGCAGAGGCGATTGCTCCTCTTCCTCCGCTCCCGCTGCTCCTCGCCGCCTCTGCTGCATCTCCTGTGTAATGAAAAAGGCAGAATTTAGGAAACAGCGTTAAGGCAGACAGATGAAGGAAACAGAGTTATGGCAGACAGATGAAGGAAAGTAGGAAAATTGAGCTCTCGGAAACTGGAAAACGGCAACGCATACAGAGTCAATGCAAAATGAATCAAGGCGAGAAGAGGAGGCTTACCAGAGAAGAGCAGAGGCGACTGCTCCTCTTCCTCCGCTCCCGCTGCTCCTCGCCGCCTCTGCTGCATCTCCTGTGTAACGGAAAAGGCAGAATTTAGGAAACAGAGTCAAGACAGACAGAGGAAAGAAAGTAGGGAAATTGAGCTCACGAAAACTGAAAAACGGCAACGCATACAGAGTCAATGCAAAATGAATTAAGGCGAGCAGAGGAGGCTTACCAGAGAAGAGCAGAGGCGACTGCTCCTGTTCCTCCGCTCCCGCTGCTCCTCGCCGCCTCTGCTGCATCTCCTGTGTAATGGAAAAGGCAGAATTTAGGAAACAGTGTTAAGGCAGACACATGAAGGAAACAGAGATATGGCAGACAGATGAAGGAAAGTAGGGAAATTGAGCTCACGGAAACTGAAAACAGAGTGAAGGCAAACAGAATGTAGGCGAGAAATGAAGATTACCAGAGAAGAGCAGAGACGACTCCCTCCTCTCTTCTGCTCCTCCGCTCCTCCTCTGCTTTTCTGCTGCATAAGGAATGGAATTCATACTAATGGTGAGTGCGATATTTCAAATGAGATCATGTGTGTCTATGCAATGGAAAAGAAAGGAACAAGGAACAGCAAGGAATTCGAGTGGCACCCTATCAAAAGCCATCCCACCTCACTTACAACTCATCACATCTCACCCCACCGCAGCTCACCTGGCCGAGCGTTGCCGAGAAGCTGCTGCTCCGCTCCGCCCCGCTCCGCTCTGCTCCTGGCTAAAACAAAACCAGAAACAGAAGGGGACATTAGCACGTAAAAAAACAAAGATGCAGAAAACTGGAAACCAAAACAGAGACTTACATGTCGGTGACGGCGTTGACTCCTCTCCATGCTGCCGCTCCCCCCTCCTTGCTGCCACACCACACCACACCACACCACACCACTCCACACCAACCAGAGGCTTACAGTGTCGATGGTGGGAAGGGGTTGAGGACGGAGTGCAGGTCAGGTTGGGCGTGAGAGGTGGGAAGAGGAGGTGCGTGGAGGGCAGTGCTGAAGAATGAGGACGTGGAGCAGCGATGGGCGGGGCCACCCGTGAGGAGGACTTACGAGAGGGGGCCCCACCCTCTCTGCCTCAACACGTTTCCCACCGCTACTCTCCGTTTTTCATTCCCACAGCATCCCAGCCTAGTCATGCATCCACTCGTCCAACCCATCAACCACTCCCTCACGTTCCTCCGCCTCACCCCTTGCTGGACGTGCCGCCTCCTCGCCTGAAGTGCCGCCTCCTTGCCACCTCGTCCCCTCACCTGAAGTGCCGCCTGGTTGCCTCCTCCTCCTTTCCCCAAGTGTCCTCCTTGCCTCGAGCCCCAAGAGTCGCATGCCTACCTCCTTTCCCCAAGTGTCCTCCTTGCCTTGAGCGGGTGGTCAGCAGGGCGAGTAGGAGTCAGCCACACACCAGTGGCTGCCGGCCGTGCGTCATCCCACCACGCTCGCCCGTCCTCCTCGCTCCACCACACCACACAAAACCACTCCATACCAGACCACACAGCACCACACCTGCTCCTCTGCAGGCGCCTCCGATCTTGAGTGAAGAAGCCATCTTGAGTGAAGTGCCGCCTCTCCTTGCCTCCTCACCTCAAGTGCCACACCGCACTACACCTCTGCTGAAGTGCCGCCTCCTTGCCTCCGCGCCGGCTCGTTGCCCAAAGTGTCCGCCTCCTCCTCATGCATCACCATACCATTCCACACCGCACCACACCTCTGCTGAAGTGCCGCCTCCTTGCCTCCGCGCCGGCTCGTTGCCCAAAGTGTCCGCCTCCTCCACATGCCGCACCATACCATTCCACACCGCACTACACCTCTGCTGAAGTGCCGCCTCCTTGCCTCCGCGCCGGCTCGTTGCCTGAAGTGTCCGCCTCCTCCTCATACCGCACCATACCATTCCACACCGCACTCCACCTCTGCTGAAGTGCCGCCTCCTTGCCTCCGCGCCTCCTTGCCCGAAGTGCCCGCCTCGAGCAGAGAGGGTGGTCAGCAGGGCGGGTAAGAGGCAGCCGTGTGGCTGCCGGCCGTGCGTCATCCCACCGCTCGCTTCTCCCTCTCACTGCTGCCGTCCTCCCGAGTCGCTGATGCCGTCCTCTGCAGGCTCCTCTGCTCCTCCCGAGTGAAGAACCCATGGTTGCTGAAAAACAGGGGGAGGGAACGCACAGACAGATGCACGAAGACAGTAAACAGAACTGCGAAACGGAAACAAAAGCAATACAAACACAAGGAAACGAAATCCGGAATTGAAAGCGAAATACGAAGTGCGAAACTGAAAGCGGAGAACAACACAAGGAAACGAGGTGGTGGGATGGATGCACGTCCATGATACGTCGGCTGCAGCTAGCAGAGGGAGGAGCTATGCTACCCAAAACCAACTCTATGCTACCCAACCCAAAATCTATGCTACCCAAAACCCGCGGAGGACATCTACTAGGCTGCAGCCGAACGTATCAGAGGGACGTGCATAAACGCGAAATGCAGGACCATGGAGTGAAGAACGAGGTGCGGAAAACACGGAATGACGAAACGAAACGAATGGAGGGTGACGAGAAGGGAAGGCGAGGGGAAAGACACTTCCCAGTTGCTTTGCTGCCCACGAGATGCCAGTGTTGCCTTGCTGCTCCACGAGCGGGCGGTCAGCAGGGCGGGTAGAGGCAGCCACACGCCAGTGGCTGCCGGCCGTGCGTCATCCCACCGCGCCCGTCCACCTCAGAAGCGACAGGATCAGCCAGCAGCACTCCAGCAGCGCCAGGATCAGCCAGCAGCACTCCAGCAGCCCCAGGATCAGCCAGCAGCACTCCAGCAGCGCCAGGATCAGCCAGCAGCACTCCAGCAGCGCCAGGATCAGCCAGCAACACTCCAGCAGCGCCAGGATCAGCCAGCAGCACTCCAGCAGCGCCAGGATCAGCCAGCAGCACTCCAGCAGCGCCAGGATCAGCCAGCAGACACGTTCTGTTTCGCCATTCACCACGTCAGCGCCGCGCGGACGGACGCGCGCGGTACGTCGCATGGCGCTCGTCGGATATCGTCGCATGCCATCTTCCGCACACGGACGCGCGCGGTACGTCGCATGTCGTTCGTCGCACATCGTCGCATGCATCCTCACAGAGCGCCGGTACGCGGAACTTCGCACGCGGTAAGTCGCCATCATCCGCACACCGTCGCACGGCGGGGAACGTCGCAAGCGGTACGTCGCATGCCGTTTGTCGCACATCGTCGCGTCATGTCGCCCAGCATCCGCACGGCGCCGCATGCGGAACGGCGTCATCTTCTGCACACCGTATGCGGTTGGCCGCCGTCTTCCGCACACAGTCAATCGCGTGAAGTCCACACACCGTCGCACAGGGAACGTCGCACGCGGTTCGTCGCCATCTTCCGCACAACGTCGCATGCAGTATTTCGCCAGCATCCGCACAACGTTGCACGCGGAAGGTCGCACGCGGAAGGTCGCACGCAGTGGGTCGCCGCCTTCCGCATGGTTGCGCGTAATTCGTAACTCGCCACTTGCCGCTACACGATCGCCGCACGTTTCCAGCCGCTCACTGTCGTCGCTAGCCGTTCGCCGTTCGACATTGGCTAGTCGTTTGCCGCACGGTGCTGCTTCACGTATCATAATGCCTTGAGTTCACGTTCGGCTTTAGGCGACCATAGTAGCAGCCATCGGCGAGTAGTTGGATGTACGACTATATCGGAACGACGCTTCAACGAAACGGAAGCGACATACGCTTCAACTAGAGCGGTGGAAAACCTTATCAGGAAAGACCCGTCAGGAATCATGTTGATAGCTGAAAACTATCGGTTAATCATCAGTTTACAAGAATCTAGATACTGAAACTCAACGTGGTAGTGCTCGCTGAAACTAATGGTAGAATTGCCTTAGCGGTTACGAATATTAACTACCGCGGTTATAAGCTAAGAGGCTAGCAGTTAACATCAGCCTATCAGAAAGCTGTATAATGACACGACTCTACCAGTTCTCCCATTGGAACAGGCTTATCTAGATAAGCTACTACTGTCATGAATACTCTTAAGAGTACGATCTAATCGTAGTAAGCTACATCTCTGAGAGATTTCGACAGCAGCCATGGCGAGCTGATAAACCCGTGGAAGCAAGCACGAGCTAACGCTGAGTAGAGAGAATAAGTGACGTGAATGAAGAAACTGGAGAATTTGGCAGAGGTGACTGGAATGGCCTTGGGAATGTCACTGGGTTGACTTGGTCTCAGGGAGGCTGCATGCACTTGCTGGAGGGAGTCGCCAAAACAGAGGCTTCCGCTAGTCTCCGCCCGGCGCACAGGTCACGGCAAAGCTTTCGCGAGCAAATGACAAAAGCGTAACTGAGGCTATCGGGGTCAGACGACTTTCGCCACCGGGATGGGAGTCCAAAGTAGCCGCTTAACTGCGCTGGGCCCGACGAAGCGCGGCTTTTTGAAAATTCCAGGCGGGAGACTTCTGCAGCAGGTGTGCCAGAAAAGGTTCCGTCGTAATACGGAATCTCCGCAAGGGATCATCTCCGCAAGTTATCCATCTACAGAACTGTATCATCATGCACAGCCAGGGAGAATATGCCACAAGTAACCAACTTGGGACTCGATAACGTGAATGGTAAAAAAAAACGCGTACGGTCACTGTATCGGGTTTTCTGACGGGTTTGGTAAGCGGGGTCACGGATTCAGTCACTAACAACAGGTAAAAAATCACGCGAATGGTCACACATGTAACTCCCGCCAAAAAAACTTGAAACTCAACAAAATTCCCGCTCGCGCCCAACCAATCTGCGAACTTGTAAAAAAACTAAAACCCAATCGGAATCGGAAGCGGTTTGGGAACGGATCAACCCTAAACACCTGGCGAGTTACGTGTTTAGGGTTGATCATCCGAAAATGCATCCAGGTTCTGTCTGGGTTTCATTTTGTTTTGGCGGGAGTTTCATCTGTGACCATTCGCGTTTTTTTTTACCAGCTGATTGTGACTGATTCCGTGAAACGCTTTATCAGTCGCGTGAAAACACCCTTTGCAGTGACCGTACCCTTTGTTTTTTTACCAAAAATGTTTTCGAGTCCCATGATGGTTACGAACGGCATATTTTCCCTGCACAGCCATCTACAGTGTAGACTCCTTTCAGCAAAATAATATATATATTTTCTCACGTGGGACTGCAACAAGATTGTAACAAAATATCTGCGTTTGTAGCAAGAGATTTGCATCTTAGCTATGATCGCAGCATAAGAGTAGCATCGCAAGGGCGCAAGACGCGCCCTACCTTGATGCGACCACTCTCATCATTTGTTGGATTGAATATTCATGAGCACCACATTTCACAGCCACCTATCCGGCCAGCCACAACCAGGCCAAACATTCGTGTAGCAGTTGACATATTTGTCAACCGCTGTATCACCCTGCACCGTGCACCCTGCACCCTGCACCGTGCACCGTGCACCCTGCACCCTGCACCGTGCACCCTGCACCCTGCACCCTGCACCCTGCACCCTGCACCCTGCACCCTGTCCCCTACACCCTGTCCCCTGCACCCTGCCCCCTGCCCCCTGCCCCCTGCCCCCTGCCTTCTGCCCCCTGCACCCAGCACCCTGCCCTCAGCACAGCACCGCACATGCCATGAGTGGCACAAGGTGTGCCTCCCAGCACCACAGCCTGCAATGCAGCCACCATGATCACCATTACCATCACCACCACAATCACAATCACCACCAACGCAGGAACTGCTTTGTTGAGTGCCCCTGGCAGCACATGAGAGGCATGCACAATCTCCACCTCAACACAACCCCCTGCGCACACCACCGGCAGATGGCAACTCGTATCCACGGTCAGAGCCAGGGCCAGCAGGGCAGGGAGCAGAGCAGCGAGGAGAGCGAGTGCAGGTGGCGCGAGCGGTACGCGCGATACAGCATGAGCGGCGTGCGCGGGGGCAGCGGTGGCGGTGCACGCTGCCAGCGCTGCGAGATGGGATCGCGCGTGAAGACGCGGGGGGCGCCGCTGGGGAAGAGCATGTCTGTGTCTGGTGACTGGGCTAGCAGCCGGTAGCAGCTGCAGGGATGGGCAGGGGGAAAAGGCAGACGTGGAGGGGGAGGAGGGAAGGCGTAGCGGGAGGTTGGTGGGGAGGGTCAGGAGCAGCGGGAGGGGGGTGGGAATGGGTAATGTGAAGGAGGTGAAGGAATGGCATTGAGCAGAGATGTTTACTCGCTCCAATGACATGCCCTAGTTTGTGCATGGCATGCGCATCACCATGGCATGGCATGTGTGCCACGTGGGGATAGAGGGAGGAATCACCGACAAGCACCCCTCACCTGCGGATGAAGGGCAGGAAGTCGGGGCCCTCAGCCAGCGGCGATGTGGAGTTGGCGTGCAGCAGCTCGTGGTCTGTCATGCTCAGCCGCTGCCGCGCTAGTGCTGCCGCATCCATCAGCCTAAAACGAGGGGGGTTTGGGGGGTTGGAGGGAAAAGGAAGGAGTGGAAAGAGGTGATAGGGTGAGTCAGACGCTGCCGCGCTAGTGCTGCCGCGTCTATCAGCCTGAGATGCAGACATCAAAAGGGAGGAGTGGAGAGGGATGCAAGACGGTGAGTTGGCGTGCAGCAGCTCGTGGTCCATCAGCTTAACAAGGGGAGGAGGGGGGAGGGTGGTGAGAGGGGTTGGGGAAAAGGTGGGGAGAGGGGTTGGGGGGAAGGGGTGGGGAGGAGAGGAAGGAGTGGAAAGAGGTGATAGCGTGAGTTGGCATGCAGCAGCTCGTGGTCCGTCATGCTCAGGCGCTGGATAGATGCTTCATGCAATCACGGATAGATGCTTCATGCAATCACGGATAGATGCTTCATGCAATCACGGATAGATGCTTCATGCAATCACGGATAGATGCTTCATGCAATCACGGGTAGGGAATAGTGAGGCAGGGAAGGGGGCACGGGGATACAAACGAATAGTGAGACAGGGAAGGGGGCACGGGGATACAAACGAATAGTGAGACAGGGAAGGGGGCACGGGGATACAAACGACAGGTCACCGCGTTCTTACTAAGTGGGTGGGGATCGGCATTGTTTGTCTCATTCTACCTGGTGGGCGGCAGCACGAATCGGTCTATCTGAGTGTCGTAGAAGCGGGTGAGGCGCCCCTGGGGACAGA